TTGTGAACAGCAGGGGGCCCAACACTGACCCCTGTGGAACACCGCTCGTGACGCTTCCCCACTCTGATTTCTCCCCATTTATGCAAACTCTCTGCTGCCTATTTGTCAACCATGCCTCTATCCAGGAAAAAATTTCTCCTCCTATTCCATGTGCTTTAATTTTCCTCAATAGTCTCTGATGTGGGACCCTGTCAAAAGCCTTACTGAAGTCCATATACACAATATCATATTCAAGTTATGTAAAATACCTGGAGAGAGTTTGGCGGGGGTCAACGCCCCCGCTGCCCGGTCTGTGACCAAGCCTCATGCTGGATTAGGGTCTGATCAACCAGGTTGTTGGGTTTTTTGTAATACTGCAAAGGAACAATGTAAATGAATCACATTATATGATTTTATCGGGTTATCTTAGTAATAGTAGTAGTAATAGTAGTAACAGTAGTAGTAGTAGTAGTAGTAACATTAGTAGTAGTAGTAGTAATAGTAGTAACAGTAGTAGAAGTAGTAGAAGTAGTAGTAGTAGTAGTAATAGCAGTAATAGTAGTAGTTGTAGTAGTAGTAGTAATAGTAGTAACAGTAGTAGTAGTAGAAGTAGTAGTAGTAGTAGTAACAGTAGTAGTAGTAGTAGTAATAGTAATAACAGTAGTAGTAGTAGTAGTAGTAGAACTAGTAATGACTTGTTGGTTAATGGAATTTGTGTGAATATTTTTGGAAGTATAAAACTGTTATCGTCCTGTGTAATGTGTTTTGAATGTACATTAATGATGCTTCGAAGCATTTCTGTATTCTCTGATTCTTTAATCATAAAGCGACTTGATTCCATTTCATTAAGTGGTTGGTTGTGTTTCAGTGTTGAACACATGCGTAGTTCGGTTGTGTGTGCATCATTGTGTTGATTGGTTCAAGGTTCTCCACACTGCCTCTGGTAAACATTTTAATGGATGTGCTGGTAGCTATGGTGACTCTTAAGTTTGTGGGAATGCTTTGTTGACGTTCAGATCAACTTGGCTGTTGGGAAGGATGATAACTTTGTTCAACATAGTGTCAGTGCACGGAGAAATGATGATGAGAAGTGATGATGCCATGAGCTCTTTTCTCTTTGTAGCCTTTGATGAAGAAGGAAGGAAAATGAAGCTTGATCTATATTGCAGCACTCAAGGCCTGGTCTCAGACTGGGCCGCGGGGGCGTTGACCCCCTGAAACCCTCTCCAGGTATACTCCTTGTTAAAAAGCTCTTTGACACGAGTACATTTGCTATCATATCTTCAAACCTGAGGGACTGACCACCTCCCACCAAGTCAAAACTACTACTGCTTCTAGTCTTTATTCACCCGCTTTCGACTGAAGAAGACTGTTGTCCAGGTGAAACGTGTCTGCGGTAAACATACCCAAGCATTTCAAACTTGTCTTATTCATCAATATGTCGACACTGTTGGCCATCAGTAACGAAATTTGCATTCGTAAGTCTCCCGTCGACCTGGAATTATAAGATACTATCTGCTTCGTGCACGAGGACATCATGGAATGAAAAATGTATACAAATGTAGTATAAAATAATTATTTATTGTATTCCTTATATCTCAATATCAAGGAACGGTAACCTGTCACTGGAAGGTTCAAGTGTGAGGTGAACTGTAGGTTCAAATTCCTTGAACCTCCTCCAGACGTTCTGGATGTTTGTTTACATTATTATATTCATTGAAATTTCTGAAGCAATAAGGCGTCACTGAACACTTACCCAGTGATTTATATAATGTTGGGAGTTGTATTGTTCGGTTAATAAGGTGCGAGGGTAGAACCAGTAAGAAGATAAGACTGAAACTGTATGACACATATTGGCTAAGCACTGTTTTTATAATAATAATAATAATAATAATAATAATAATAATAATAATAATAATAATAATAGTAATAATAATAATAATAATAATAATAATAATAATAATAATAATAATAATAGTAATAATAATGTAGAGTGATGAACACCTTGGGTCGCCTGTCACGGTTGCACAGTCAATACCCGTGTAAATACTTTTACCATAAAGTATTTAAATCCCGTTCACATGATAGTACAGCCACCACACTGTGCACAGTAACATTCCAAGCTTGTGATGAATGTTCTCTCCTCTCTCTCTCTCTCTCTCTCTCTCTCTCTCTCTCTCTCTCTCTCTCTCTCTCTCTCTCTCTCTCTCACCTCTGCCTCTCCATCGGTGAAGATTCACGCCACACCTGAGACCTTGGTATTTATTATAAAAAGCATTTTCTCGTCCTAGACACGACTATCCTTGCTAAGTAACAAGATGCTATGGTTGTGGTGGTGTTGTGAAAGTCTGGGTGGTAGTTGTGGTTATTGTGGTGTGTGTGTGTGCAATAAAATCCTCATACCTGCAACAGCAAAAGGCACATGATAGAACTTACACAGACCATAGCTGACATCAGTTACGTACTATATAGGAAGCCCCTGGTTACGTAGAGCATTTCGGGCGAATTAGGGCAATTTGCCCCCCCCCCTTCAGGATGCGACCCACACCAGTCCACTAACACCCAGGTACCTATTTTAATGCTAGGTGAATATGGACAGCAGGTGTCTTAAGGAGACACGTCCTAATGTTTCCACCGGCACCGGGGATCAACCCCCGGACCTCTGTGTGTGAGGTGAATGCGCTACCAACTCAGCTACGGTAGCTAAGTAGCTTAACATTAGTAATGGCGTTTTCACAAGTTTATGATCCTGTAACAACATAATGAGTTGTTTATGTAGCCAAAATATTACATTGTAGTTTACACGCAATGTTGAATTGTTTATTTTATATTTTAACAAGGCTTGTTTGAATATAAACAACTTAAGTTGTTTTGACTTTGTTGGCGAATGGAAAAGTTTAGGAATTTTTTCTAGATTATTATTATTATTATTATTGGGAAGCGCCAAACCCCTTAGGGATTATACAGAGACTCTAGGGGGCGGGGGAAGGGGGGCGAAGGGAAAGCATTAAGGGTCAATTTAGAGAATAGGAGCACAGATCCAATTCTCTGAATTAAGGAGTTTTTCCTAGAATGTCGGGTAATATGTCACTCTGGATAAAATACTTTGGAATTTCTTAAGCATTTTTGTGATTGAGTTGTCTCTGAATCCACGATTTTTTTCTTGCATTCTAGGACATAATAACGCAAGGTGTGACAACCGTCCCTATGGCAAATTTCACAGTTAGTTGAGTGGTGATGGTGGTGATAACACCCTGTGAGTCAGCCGGAGCCTGGCAGTGATGACATCCAGGAGTCAGATGATGATGCTGGATGCACCTTAGACGTGCGGCTCTCTTGCATGATAGAATAACAGTGTCAGTCTTCCTCGGACTCAAGTCAATGAAGTTCAGTTCAAGTTCTTTTCGTATTATTGTCCTCAAACAACTAGTGGACAACCTAAAGTCGTAGTCCACTTCCTCATACATCCGACAAGTCAGCAATGCTGTCATCCATTACAAAACCAATATATGATAAGCCACAGAATGCGCACCTTGACTCCATTATCTTACCACACTCAGTATTCTCAAGGGCTTTCCAAAAAAAAAAAAAATACTTGAAACCACTTCTTACAACAATTATATACAATATTTACATTGTCATACCAGTGTCTGGCTTCTGACAATCATGCCACAAATGATAGAGAATTAGTTACAATTAAAATTAGAATTACTTACAATTAAATTGCAAATTTTAGATAAATGGACGCCTTTGACTGCAAGGATTATAACAAACAATTCAGTTTGAATGGCGGAAGCGTAATGATAGCCTTAAGTTGTATTTGTTAAGTTGTTCACTGCAACTTAAGGCTAAACTTTGGTTGAAATTTAATAAGGATTTTCAGGGGGAAGTGAGAGATAGTGGTTTGGATAGAGGTAATTTTCCATGGTGAAGGAAAGTGCCTCTGTTCTCTTCCTTGACATTATATGATGTATCTGGTTCCTTTGGAGGTCAGTTCCAGTTTTTATCATCCAATTTGGGGAAGTGTTCGCCAGTGCTGAATAAAGTTTATAGAGCTGACTCACGAAATCGTAATGACACGACTGCAAACAAACCATACCCCGGGCGGGGTTAGAACACCAGTGAGGGCATTTCTTTCAGTCACAAGTTCTCTGATGCTTGAAATGTCAATTTTTTCCACATATTTGGAATTTTACTGGTACGTGAACATTCCAGGATGATCTTCATTACTTTGCTCTGCAGATTTTTCCAGACATACAAGTTTCCAGTCAGACACAAGAGTATGTAAGGTGGCGGTATAATCTACAATAAAATGTAAACAAAATACATAATTTTTATTTTTTATGCTAGTTCCCTGCCTAAGATGAAAACCTGCTACAACTCCAAGCGCTCTACAATAAGTCCAAGTAGTTGGACCTCAAATCCAAGATAATTGTATCAGGTGATGCAGTCTTACTGAGATCCATCGTGTAACTGCATCCTGCGGTTCACTGTCATGAGGACGCCTCTGAGGTATCTTTGTTATCTCAGCCGAGATAATATAATCATCTAATAATTGATTAATGATGTTTTGGGTATTGGAGAGCGTCGTGGTATGAACCATACACTGAACCTAGATTCTCTGATTATGTAAATTTTTTTTAATTACCTGTAAAGGAGGCAACACCTGGTACTTTACACATGCAGAATATTAGCAACTTACCTTGACTAGCGTTCAATTTAGTTTGCTTATTTGTAGAACACACACAACACACACACACATTTGGTGAGTACAGTTAGGTGAGTACACACAAGAACTGTGAATCAACCCCTGCAACCACATATAGGTGAGTACATAGATTGAACGGCCTTTTGACTCCCTCTTCTCGTCTGCTCCTTCCTTCTCTTCATCCTTTTCCCCCCTCCCCCACATCTCTCCCTCCTTATTCCCCCACCCCTCCCTCTCGCTTCTCCCTTCCTCCCTCTCCTCCTCCCCCACCTCTCCCTCCTCCATCTTTGTTGATGTCGTGGAAGGTCAGTCAGCTCGTGGCACATCCCTGGATCGGGTCACTCTCTAGCCCTCAGTGTGTGTCTCGTTTACATGTTTTACTTGAGTTTACCTCTCATCAGGTAGACTCCTCGTGTCCCCTCACCAGGTAGACTCCTTGTGTCCCTTCACCAGGTAGGCTCCTTGTGTCCCCTTACCAGGTAGACTCCTCGTGTCCCCTTACCAGGTAGATTCCTTGTCTCTCCTTATCGGGTAGACTCCTCGTGTCCCCTCACCAGGTAGACTCCTTGTGTCCCTTCACCAGGTAGGCTCCTTGTGTCCTCTTACTAGGTAGACTCCTCGTGTCCCCTCACCAGGTAGACACCTTGTGTCCCCTTATCAGGCAGACTCCTCGTGTCCCCTTACCAATTAGACTCCTTGTGTACATCGATTCTTTGTTCTCCAGGATGAGTGTACTTCAGTGGTTAGTGAGGTTAAAGTTACCACTGACTCCCCTGCTAATCAAGGTAAGAACATTCTGATTGTGGGAGACTCTCAGGTAAGATATATGGACCGTGCTTTTTGTAACAGGAATGAGAAAGTGAGACATAGAGTGCATTTTCCTGGAACTTGTGTTGGTGACATAGTCAACAGGTTGGATAATATTATGTCAGGTAATGGGAACAAGCCCATTATCTGTCTCAATGATGGTGGAAATGATATCGGCAAGGGCAGGAAAGAAGAGCTGCTAGATAAGTACAGGTCAGCTATAGATTTAATTAGGTCAAAGGGATGGGTCCCAATGATATGTAGCATCTTGCCTAGAAGGGGAGTGGGCAATGAATGGATGTCTAGGGCAATTGGTATAAATTGCTGGCTAGACAGATACTGCAAGGAACTTGCAATCCCATTCATTGACAACTGGAACAACTTTTATGGCAAACATGATATGTATGCAAGGGATGGGGTACATCTTTCTGGGGCTGGGGTGGCAGCATTTGCCAGCTCGATCGAGAGGGTCATTGCTGACATGTCTAGGATTTTAAACTGATAGAAGATAGAGGTATGGGTGTGTGTAGGAAACAGTCAGGTTGCAGCTCTAGGGTTGAAAACAGCAAATGTTTAAAAGACATTATTCTTCATAAAGTTACAAATAAAGACAATGGATCAGGTCAGCAAACAAAGAGGGACAACAGAGGGCAGTGAGAGACTAGCTGCCTTAAGGTTTAATGTACTAATAGCAGGAGTGCAAGAAGTAAGACGGATGAGTTAAGATTAATTGCAGGAAGCATAATATTTTGCTATAACAGAGACCTGGCTCAATCTGAAAGATAGAGAAATGCTTTCTGAATGCTACATACAAGGCTACAAATTATTCCACACTGATAGGGTCAATAGGAAGGGTGGTGGAGTAGTGATGTATGTCAGAGATAATTTAAACTGTTGTGTTAGACAAGGTATAAAATTAAGAGCATCAGCCACTGAATCTGTTTGGTTACAGCTTCTCGAGGGCCATGAAAAACTAACTTGGGTGTGATTTACAGGCCCCCAAACCTTGATAGGGAGTGCAATAAACTTCTATGGGACAAAATTCGTAAGACATCTATGTATGAAAATGATGTGATAATGGGGGATTTCAACTTTAGACAAAGTGACTGGAGCAATTCGACAGGAAATTTAGAGTCAAACGACTTTCTTGATGCGATTCAGGATTGTTTTTTAAAACAGTTTGTGACAGAACCAACTACAGGAAATAACCTGCTTGACTTAGTTCTTGCCAGCAGGGAATCACTAATTAATAATCTTGAGGTTAATGGTGAGCTTGGGGAAAGTGATCACAAATCACTCAATTTAATGTATCATGGAATTACCCTAATAATGGCAATCAAGTCTCTGTCCCTGACTTCTGCATGGCTGATTTCATAGGACTGAGAAATTGCCTGGGTGGGTTGAGCTGGAATGACCTGACTATGGGTCAGGTAGGTGGTGATGGTTGCCGATATGATGCTTTCCAGAGTGTAGTTCTAGCTACTCAGACAACTCATGTTCCTAATAGGAAAATCAGATCCTAAATGGATAAACAATAGATTAAAACATCTCATTGGTCAAAAGAGAGGCATATATAGGCGAATCAAAAGAGGAGAGGGGCAGTTAAAAAATCACTATATTCAGTTAAAGAGAGAAATAAAAAAGGGAATAAGAAAAGCAGAGAGATTATGATGTTAAAGTTGGAAGGGAACTGAAGACTAACCCAAAAGGATTCTCTCAGGTATACAGAAGTAAGATTAGGGACAAGATAGGCCCACTTAAAAGTTACTCAGGTCAGCTCACCAACAGTGTTAAGGAAATGTGCAGAATTCTTAACACTTACTTCCTCTCAGTTTATACACAGGAAGATACTAGCAATATTCCAGAAATAATAAATCATGTAGAACAGGACGATAATAAACTATGCACGATTAGGGTCACAAGTGACATGGTCCTTAGACAAATAGATAAATTAAAACCTAACAAATCCCCAGGCCCTGATGAGCTGTATGCAAGGATTTTAAAGGAATGTAAAGAGGAGCTTAGCAAACCTCTGGCTAATCTTTTCAACATATCACTACAAACTGGCACAGTGCCACATAAATGGAAAATGGCAAATGTGATACCTATTTTCAAAGCAGGTGACAGGTCCTTAGCTTCGAACTATAGACCAATAAGCCTAACCTCCATAGTGGGAAAATTTATGGAGTCAATAATTCTCGAGGCAATCTGTAGCCATCTTGAAAAGCTTAAATTGATCAACGAATCTCAGCACAGTTTTACAAAAGGGCGTTCCTGCCTTACGCATTTATTAACTTTTTTTTACTAAGGTGTTTGAGGAGGTAGATCATGGTACATAAACGACATAGATGAGGGAATAAATAATGATATAAGCAAGCTTGCTGATGACATCAAAATAGGCCGTCGAATTCATTCTGACGAGGACATTAGAGCACTCCAGGAAGATGTGAATAGACTGAATCAGTGGTCGGAGAAGTGGCAGATGCAGTTTAATATAGACAAATGCAAAGTTCTAAATGTTGGACAGGAAAATAACCATGCCACATATAAACTAAATGTAGATCTTAATATTACTGATTGCGAAAAGGATTTGGGAGTTCTGGTTAACAATAATGTAAAGCCAAGACAACAGTGCATTAGTGTTCACAATAAAGCTAACAGAATCTTGGCTTCATATAAAGAAGCATAAATAATAGGATTCCTCAGGTTGTTTTTCAACTCTATGTATTTTGGTTAGACCTCATTTAGATTATGCTGCACAGTTTCGGTCACCGTATTACAGAATGGATATAATGCTCTGGAAAACGTACAAAGGAGAATGGACAAAGTTGATCCCATGTATCAGAAATCTTCCCTATAAGGAGAGACTGAGGGCACTGAATCTGCACTCGCTGGAAAGACGTAGAATTAGGGAGGATATGATTGAGGTGTATAAATGGAAAACAGGAATAAATAAAGGGGATGCAAATAGCATGCTATAAATATCTAGCCAAGACAGGACTCACAGCAATGGTTTTAAGTTGGAAAAATTCAGATTCAGGAAGGATATAGGAAAGCACTGGTTTGGTAATAGAGTTGTGGATGAGTGGAACAAACTCCGAGTACAGTTATAGAGGCTAAAACGTTGTGTAGTTTTAAAAATGGGTTAGATAATTACATGAGGGGGTGAGGGTGGGTGTGAGTTGGATCTGACTAGCTTGTGCTGGTAGGTCTGATACCGTTCTCCTTCCTTAAGTGAATGTGACCTATCTGAGTAGGTTGGGTCATTGGCTTAAGCTGGTGGGAGACTTGGACCTGCCTCGCTTGGGCCAATAGGCCTGCTGCAATGTTCCTTCTTATGTTCTTATGTCTCCACACCAGATAGACTCCTTGTGTCCCTTACCAGGTAGTTTCCTCGTGTCCACTTACCAGGTAGACTCCTTGTGTCCCCTTACCAGGTAGACTCCTAGTCTAGACACTTCATGTCTCTCCCTCAAGAGGTCAACACCCCGTGTCTCTCCCTCAATAGGTCGACACCTTGTGTCTTCTCTTCAAGAGGTCGACACCCCGTGTCTCTCCTTCAAGAGGTCGACACCCCGTGTCTCTCTCTCAAGAGGTCAACATCCCGTGTCTCTCCCTCAATAGATCGACACCTTGTGTCTCCTCTTCAAGAGGTCAACACCCCGTGTCTCTCCTTCAAGAGGTCAACACCCCGTGTCTCTCCCTCAACTGGTCGACACAGTCGACAAGAAAATCAACAAGATGACTACTATAAAGACTGACAAGAATT